TATATAATTTTAATAATAAAATAAATGTATGATGTAATTGGTTTACTTAAGATTGATTTTGATTTCTTGATTTCTTTCCCAACTACTCCAGTGTATGTGGTGGTCTCAAAAACAGCAGTCACATTAATATTACCTAAATAATAATAATAATAACAACAACAACAACAACAAAAACAACAACAACAACAACAATAATAACAACATCATTATTACTTGAAATTGGTGAGTTAATCTTAGCAGTAACTCCAAAAGTCAAATCTTCTCCAATTCTCCGTCCTGAGGTCAATTTAGCTGAGAAACTAACAGCTCCCTTCTCCTCCTCCTCGTGGCCCCTCCCACCCATCAGTGCTGCCCGTTCAGAGGCACTTCCCTCAGGGTATTTATAATGAGACGTCACATCTTCCCTTGAGTTTCTTCCAACTGCCTTCGTACTGATGTGCTTACCAACTTTAGTCTCATGTCTTGAGACAACAGCAAAAGAACCGTCTGATTTCTCAACGTGATATTTTATATCAGCATTAACCTCCGCAATCACAAACTCGTTATCATACTTGAGATCCTTGCCGTCCTTGACAGCCTATACATGTAGCACATGTTAATTATTGCCTTATTTGGAAGTGTGGTTACGTACCTGGATGGAGGCGGGGCCTACGACCATGGTACGGGAGTGAGGTGAGAGTTCTTGTGGTGTGGCGTCAACTGCTTGCCAGCCGCCATAGTCCCCGTCAAGATCAGGGCGGGTCATCCAAGCCTCCACCCACACGTGATAGTTCCTAATGAATGGAGGAATACCTCATAGATAAAGTATGGACTTTGGGACAATTTTTGAGTGATTTTAAAAATTCATAAAAAATCCGATTTCGATCGGAATCAGCTCAAACTTTCTACACAACATAAGAACATGTATATGTATCAGAAAATGTAATAAAAATATAGAATTCTCTTCTTTCCATTTTTGACGAAATTTGGTCAAAGTCCCTGTACTATTACAAGGACTTTTGCCTATTTTTTGAGCAACTTTAAAAATCTATTTTAGATTGCAATCAACTCAAACTTTCTACACAACATACTGTATATGTAAGTACATGTATATGCATTAATAAAGATTACTGGCTATTGTTCCCTTACCATATAGAGTCATTGCTCTTATCTTCAATCATCTTATCATTTCTATCAAAATAGTAATCTATAGCTCTATTGAAATCAGCATCATGAGCTGATTCAAAGTTAGTCACTGGACGAGAAGGAATACCAATAGTCCTCAACACTAAAACAAACAAACAAACAAACAAACAAACAAACAAACAAACAAACAAATAAAAAAAAACTATCATATAATTTTGAAGGAGTAAATTTTGTCAAATTTGGGTCATTCAACAATGGCTATTTTGAACCATCATGATCATGCTTAACCATAAATTTAAACGGCCAATCACCAAAAATTTAGTGCAATTTACTAAATTTTACTCCACCACTAAAATTCCCAATAGCCTACCTGTGGTAAGAGTCCCTCCAAACACCCAACACTGAGCGTATCGAACTGGTTTCTTCTCACTCATGTACTGGGTTAGAATAGCTTCAGATCCACTCCAGGAGGTGGGGCTAGTGCCGTCAGCATAATCATCATCATTGGAGGACCATAGACCAATCAACGCTCCATTGTCACCATCATTATTATTAACCTATCAATTAATCATTTATTATTATTATTATTATTATCATTATTATTATTATTACCATATTTGCTAAACATCTCGTAACATGAATTGGACTCCGCCTAGCGTCAGATCCTAACCTCCATGAATCCAACATGTACAACACTGTCTCAAGACTTATCACCTCAAACTGATAAACAACAACAAACAACAATAATAATAAACAACTTGTTGTTTGTTTGTACCTGTGCAAAGTTCCAAGGCCACGTGAAAGTACTGTCGTGAGTCCCCGCCCATATCAATCCAGTCTCATTATTAATGTACTCATTCCTCTCCCTCTCATTTGGTAGGTAGACACTATCATCTAATGGGAGGGGTGTGGTCTTAATAATAATGAATAATTAATTAACCTCACATAAATACATTAATAATAATTAAATAATAATACATGTATAATTAAATAAAAACAATTATACTTCATTAATAATACATGTACATGTACAGACATACCTTTATTCCACGGGTTAAAGAGGAACACTACTTCTTTCTTGTCCTCCCAAACTCGTTCTCCTTTTGACTTGTTCTTCCCGAGAGGGACATGGACATGACACCGGTAACTGCCCACTGGTACATCGGGCGGAGTGTGGACCCTGTATCGTACCTCACCATTAGTTGAACTAACAACCTAAACAACAACAATAAACAACAACAAAATAATAACAACATTATTTGATTTAATAATAATAATAATAATACTCTTGATAATAATAATGATAGTAATAATTTATTTCCTTCCATTGATAAAAACAATAAACAACAACAAGCAATAATAACAACAACAATAATAACAGTTTATTTCCTACCTTCATTTTCCATTAATAATGTCTTCTTGATTTCCAAAACAGGATCACCTCTACACAATAATGGCTGAACAATTCTCACAATTATTTCTTCTTTATTCTACGAGTGAAATCAAAGATAAATTATTTCAAGTTAATCTACAAAAACAATTTAATAATAATACTCTCTCCCCCCTCTCTCTTGTAGAATTATCCAAGTTGTCTATCTCAAGGAGTATTTGCAATATTCTGTCAAGCATGTCCTAAATCAGTTAAGAAATTCCACGAAGAGAGTTTTCTTCACAAAATATGCAACTTCATTTATGAATGGACAACAGGTAAGAGTCTGGAAATAAATTGTGGGGTGGGGCCAAGGATGACCCCTTCCAAAAATTTTATTTTACATGTGAAACACAATATCCAATCAAAGTGGGCTGCTACTTTCATTAAAAAGTTGCCATGGCATTGTGGGTTGACCAATTAATAATCTAACTTCCTGAATGTCATATGATGTCACATCCTTAATCCTTTTGAAATGATTGCACAATTTCACTAGATCTTTTACAGTGGATAAATGTGACAAGCAATCCATGTATATGTACATGTATATGTAAATCCTCTATTCTAAAGGTATTCCATGTCCTCTTGGTTGCTGGAAGTGCTGGACAATGGAAGCACTTGATCCAAGCTATAAACTACACATGTTGAAGAAACCAACCAAGAAACCACCTCACCAGCCACTCCAAAGTAACTCAACAGAATTAAACCAATATTATACATTGTACATGTTTAATATACATGTACATGTATATTAATATGTGTACTGTATATTGTATACATTACCTTTTAATTGCAGTTGGTGGAGCTGCCAAAGGATTATGAAGCACTATGGTGCATGGACTCGCCTGCTGGAATTCACTTGAGTGATATGTATTACTTGTACTGTGATATTTTAAGCAATTTGAAAAAAATTATTATTATGGACTGCATAGTTATAGACCACCCTAGGCGAGAATCGAATGCGTAGGAAGATTATTAGAAATTTTTACGGTTGTAAGGCGTGGTTTAGGATGAAATAAATTTCGGCCGCCATTTTGGTTGGCAACTTTCAATGGAGAACAAACGGGCCGGCATAAAAACAAACCTGTATTAAGAATTCTGGAGCAAATTTGACCAAATCCTTGACAGGAGAAGCTTATAGGCAGCTGTTCTTTCTTATAACAAGCGCTTTTTAGCTATTGATAGAGCTACAGCAGGTAAGTGAGGCATTTTCTTCGTGCCTCCATTGACTTCCATAATAAACTTGCCAACCAAAATGGCGGCCAATTATAATGTGTGGGCAGATACCGTATATAAAATTAATGAAATTCATAACTTTTCCAATTCACGCCTAGGGTGGTCTATAATGATAATTAAAATAACCTATGGGTGTGGTCAACAACTAACTATAACTAAATCATGGCACATGGGTAGGAGAAAGAAGAAAAGCTGAAATTTATTTTAGCATCTGAAGCTCTATTCCAAGAAAGAGTTGGCACAGAAAATTTTTATAGATATTTAAAAGAGACTGAGAGAGTTTGGTTGCTCCTGCTTCCCGCAGTGTCGCCTGAAAAATTCTCGAAGAGGCTAAATCACAAACTTTGAGCAACTGTAACTCACAAACAACGAAGTTAGGACAAAATCGTTCTTTTTCTTTTTCGTTAGATGGGATTTTCTACCTCTGAAGCAAATCTCGGCCCTGTAGAGTGAAACACGAGCTCTCACCTGGAGAGAGGTCCCCTGGTTTAGCAGTTCACAGCTTTTGGTGCCACGGGATGCTACAAGAGCATAGCTAGATGAAAGAAAGCAACTTTATCTGTTGCTAGAAGAAGGAATAGAGCTCTAGACTGCTCAAACAAAAAGATAATTTTTTTACAAATCAATTAAACTGTGTGGACAGAATGACAGAACGAGAGCACTAAAGTGCGTACCCTCGACACAATCTGTATGTAACAGTTTTAATAAATTAAGAGAAAATAATTGGTCAAAGTTTTGAGACAGAGAAGAAGCTTCAGCATGTACTAGATTTATTAAAACTTAGTGAATGTTTTAGACAGACAGAGATTTTTTTTGTTTTTTTAGACAAAGAGCTCCAGCATATTTGCTGCACTGCTGCTAGCTGCAGCAATGTAAAGGTGTGGCTGCAATGAAAGTGTGGCTCATGCTCAATCAAGCCATGCTCCACCCCCACACATAGTAAATGGTGGCACATGGCCCTAAGTGGTGAAGAAAGCTTTGGTTTTTCTCGACTTTCATAAAGTTTAGCATACATTTGTTAGGCTCTATTTGTTGCATACAAACTGCTATCTAGTCCCTAATGTTAAAAGACTCTGGCCGCTACCTCGGGAGAAGAGAGCCTCGTCTAAACTCACAAGGTATGAAAGTTTGGGCTATCATATCTTTAAAACGAAGAAGATTGGAGCAATTCCTCTCATATTAATGAAAGATGAGGCTTTGCTTTATTGTTTTATCTGCCCTGTTGCTCTTTTGCTTTCACTACGAAAGAGCTGCAGGAGAGCCGACTACGTTTAGCGACTTTGCCAGCTTCTTTTACCACGGAAAAGACAAATCAAGGATTCCCAAGACGGAGAATAACTTTTTCTAGAGTTAGTGTTGATTATAAGACTCTCCAGGACAAGACAAGAAAGCAGTGTCAGCTCAAAAGTGGAGGTCAAAGCGAACACACAGACAGGACGACTGCTTTACCCTCGACCAACGCCTACGCGGTCTCGGGTAACAACGCCTACGCGGTCTCGGGTAACAACGCCTACGCGGTCTCGGGTAACAACGCCTACGGTCTCGGGTAATGACAACCCAACTGCTTAGTACCCGCCTACGCGAGTCCAACAAGCACCTTTAAGAAAACATGAAGAAAGACCAAAAGAAGAAGTGAGCACATGTACAAGTACTGTTAGTGAGTATAATCTCCTAGTTTAATAGTAGCAGTACATCTAATGATGTATGCACTATTTGACATACAGTACCAGTGTACAGTACATGTACATCATTAGTGTCCATTAGTTGTTGCAGTATTAACACTGTGTGTGTGTGTGTAGGCTGCCATGATAGGACCAGGTCCTGAGTTTGAGTGTGTCCAGTTCATCAACAGCTCACAGAGCCCACTGTTCCAGCATCACCTACTCATGAAGAGACTCAAGGAACCAACAGGAGGAGGAGGAGGGGCAGGTGATAGTATTGGTGCTACTTATACAGGACTGGTGATGGGAAGGACACAAATAAAGAAACAGCAGTAAGAGTTTTATGACTCATCCTAACATGAACTGCATGTATACTGTACTACATTCATTGATGTACTTATACTGTGTAGAAAGTTTGAGCTGATTCCAACTTCAATTTTTCAAGTTATGACCATTTTAAGAAAACGCTAAAAATCTGAAAAATACCCAAGGCTATAGCCCATGGTTTTTTCCAAAAAATGGCTCCAAAATTACCCCAAATTTTTATTACATTTCTTGATACATATTGATGTCCTTATGCTGTGTAGAAAGTTTGAGCTGATTCCAACTTCAATTTTTTAAGTTACAGCCAGTTTAAGAAAATGCCAAAAATCTGAAAAATACCCAAGGCTATATATAGCCCATGGTTTTTTCCAAAAAATGGCTCCAAAATCACCCCAAATTTTTATTACATTTTCTGATACATATTGATGTCTTTATGCTGTGTAGAAAGTTTAAGCTGATTCCGACTTCAATTTTTCAAGTTACGGCCATTTTAAGAAAACGGCAAAATTCTGAAAAATACCCAAGGCTATAGCTCATGGTTTTTTCAAAAAATGGCTCCAAAATCACCTCAAATTTTTATTACATTTTCTGATACATATTGATGTGCTGTTATTTAATACAGACCTCCCTCAATGACGTTTAAAGAACTGCTCAGAAATTCAAAAAAACTTTCAGAAAAAAGAAATGAAGCATATGAAAAGTAAATCATCATCATTATTAAATATTATTATTATTATTATTATTATTATTATTATTATTATTATTAATGATTAATAGACAGCTATTAATGTATCAGCAACAAGTCAGTGAAGCTGTTCAAGAGAATAAAGTAGCCAGAAGAAATATAAGAAAGTATAATTTTATTTGTTTATTATTATTTTATTATTTATTTTCCAGTGAGACTCAGAAGCTCCTAAAGCAGAGGAATGAGGTGACAATAGAGGCAGAGAAGATAATGTCAAAATATACTCCACAATATCAAGTCAGTTCATACCTAGCTGATGTGACTCATGATGACTGAAATAATAATAACAATAATAATAATAACAAAAATAATAATAATAATAATAATAATAATAATAATAATAATAATAATAATAATAATAATAATACTTATTTATTAGAAATGAATAGCATAATAGAAAATAATTATAATAGAAAAATGATAAAGTAATAAAAAATAAAGTAATAAATAAAAGATGAGACTGAATACCACAAACAAAAGAATGAACAAATAAAAGAATAAGTAAATAAACAACTACCATATTAAATAATGAACAATATTAATAATACCACATTACCATAATAAACAACAACTCTTCCTTCACTCTTTAAACATTCATTACTATTTTAATTTTTTGAAAAAATTAATATTTTGAATATTTAAAATTATGATTTTAAAATAATTATGAACAATAATAATAACAG